TTTGTCATGAGCTAGTAGTTACTGATAGGTTCTGTGCTTTCTGTTGTGAAAAGATGTTCACGTTTATCTTACGCATTTTCAGTCCTGAAAAATCAGCCATTTTTCAGAGGAGTCCTGATTCTTTTTAGTGGGAAATTATATTTAGCATTCATATTAATACATGTATCACAAAAAGTATTGAAAAAACTATAAAATTATTCATAGTTTTTAAAATATGAAAGTAATGGAACCATGTTACAGTGTTTCATTTTTAAATTACAGAGTTTCTGTTCTCTAACAGGATTGGTGAGCGTGCTATTCTACTGGGAGGACTCATCACTGTATGGGCTGGCTTCTTTATCTTGTTACCTTGGGGAAATCAATTTCCTAAAATACAGTGGGAAGGTATAGCCATACATAATTTTATAATGTTAGCCCATTTATTCATCTAAAATTGACAAGTAATATACCTTACTAATTTTGTTTTTACAGATCTACATAATAATTCAGTCCCTAATACTACCACGTTTGGGGAAATTATTATTGGTCTTTGGAAGTCTCCAAGAGAAGATAACAATGAAGGACCAACTGGTTGTCCAGTTGAACAAGCCTGGTGCCTCTATACCCCAGTGATCCATCTGGCCCAGTTCCTCACAGCAGCTGTGCTAATTGGAGTAGGCTATCCAGCGTGCAATGTAATGTCCTATACATTATATTCAAAAATTCTAGGACCAAAACCTCAGGTAACCTAGCTACCCTGACATTGCAATTATATGAAATACACTTGTAAGCATTCATATTTTTTGCTACCATTCTCTATTTTACACAGGCTAGTTGGGTTTTTTAATCATATTTAGCGTTAAATTTTTTTCTTAAACCTACAACTTGTATTTATAAGATTTATATGCTGAAATTTACCAAACAATACTCTGGTAGAACTCAGGTATCTCTTAAACCCAGAGATTATGAGCTCAAAGTCATTTTCATGGTAAAAAAATCTGAAGCATACATTTCCAGAACTCATTCTTAAACTAAGCAGCAGTTAGAGAACCAAAATTGATAGCCAAATTTGGATCTAGGCTTAATTTTATCTGGCTCCAGGAGCTATTACTAAGCAGTGAAAACAACAGTCTTAAAAGTTTACAGCAGATATATATTTTTAAAAAGTTAGTTTTTAATGAGAATTTCCACATTCACTATATAAAATTAGTAAATATATTTAATCAAAATGAAGAAAAATATCAAAGAGACAATTTGGCGAAATTATGCTTCTACTTCCAGTCTTTTATATATGCCTATGTGAATGGGTGTGTGTATTTAACACAAAAATAAGATTATATCATGGATACTGTTTTGTCATCTGCTTTTTTAAAAAAACAGTGTGTTGGGCCGACCCCGTGGCGCACTCGAGAGAGTGCAGCACTGGGAGCACAGCAACACTCCCGCTGCGGGTTCGGATCCTATATAGGAGTGGCCGGTGCGCTCACTGGCTGAGCGCGGTGTGGGCAACACCACACCAAGGGTTGCGATCCCCTTACCAGTCACGAAAAAAAGAACAACAACAACAAAAAAAACGTGTGTTGCCAGTATTCTACCATGCCATCTAATTGTATTTTGGAGAATTATTTTTAATGGAAACTTTGTATTCCATTTTATGTATACATCATCATTTACTCATGAT